CCTTGTCCATGTCCTCAGCCCTGCCGGCCCTCGCTGCTCGCTGGAGCCGCCCCGGACGCCGGGACAAACATTTAAAGCGCCGTCCCCGGCGTGGTTTGAAAAGGCCCAAAGCATCAAATGAGGCCGGGACAAAGGACCTCATTGAGAGGCGCTTTAATCTCCCCTTTCAGGTGATTGTTACATCCGCCTAATCTCCGAGCGCAGCAGTTTGCAGAACTCAAGGCTGCCTGACCTGGCGCCAAGTTCAGCACCGAGTCGTCTCACCACGTAGGTGCTGGGAATTGCATCACGGCCTGGGCTTCTTCACGCTGCCCTCGGCCCCCCTGGTTTCCAGTCTCTATCTTCTGCTATGAAGGACGAGGATTCAGAAGGGACTGATAACAAAGAAGGACAGAGAGAAGCCCCTTCTATGAGTCTTATACCCAAATTTTGCCACCCTCTTGCCTGTTTGATGCAAGGCTTGAAAGAATCCCCTTGCGTATAATCAGCAAAAGAAGTAGGGACGTGAGGTAGGAACAAGTAAGTAGTCCTCGTCAGATAGAAATCTTGAAGAAATCTAGAAGAAACACTGATACAGTATCTTATCAGTATGCCTGAGAGCAACTCAGTGCTCTATGCTGAGTCTGAGTGGGTAGAGGTTGGAGTTACTTGGCAAGTGCAGGGTTAACTATTTTTGGTGCTGTCCATGAGGCGGAGTGCTGCAGTCAGGACTCTCATCTTCCTCTGAAGTCGTAGACTTGTTGACTTCAGTTTATGTAGAATCAGAGATTTTAAGAAGTCTTCCAGGAGAGAACGATTGAAACTAGAGACAGATATTTGCATAGCAATTTGCTAGGTCATTTTCAGAAAACAGAGTTTTGAATAATTTCAGTTCATGCTTATGAATTTATTTAAGAATAAGATTAAACAATGAGCAGTTATATGTCAGGACATTGGACAGGACGGGAAACACTGAGAAAATTACTAGTTCACTTGAATTTATCTGTTCATGTCTTAAAACGCCATCTCCTTTCCCTGCATCCCAAGAAAGAAATGTGTGCATTTCAAAGTAAACAGTTCTGATGTTCTTATGAAGTAGATCAAAGAAGAGGAGTGTAAACTCTGTTCAGAGGCAGTCTGTTCAAGGATGATTCAGATAAGGGTGAGAAAAGAACCACTTTTAC